AGAATGATTTTTAATTCGAGAGCTAGGCAAAACGGAAAGCTAAAATTTTTGAAGGATGTTTTCCCTTTTTTCATGTGCAAACCTACAAATTCAAATCTAGCTCTCAAAAATATCTACGTTTCACTGATGGGCACATGATATGTGAAAATGCTTGGTCGCACTGGCAACGTTGGCGCGTCGCTCGCTTTTTTATGAGGTCGATTTAACTGCGCATTCAGTATGATAAAAATCTGTTTGACTCTTAACATTCTTTTTTGCATTCTTGCTCAGTCAATGGTTCTCTTTGCAGGTGGCTGTGTTGTGGCACCAATCTATCGACTGTGGCTTCTCAAGAATGTTTCTGCTAAAACAGTTACTAATAATTCGACAAAAATTATTAGAAATACATGTCGAAAAATACAGGTATAGATATGAACGAGTGAAATAGTCGTGTACAGGGCTGATTTTGTATAATCACCATATAAGGTTGCTTGTTGGAACGGTTCTTTCAACTTGTGCACTGAAAGCTGCTTTCTTTTCTAGCCTCTGCAATGTCACACAATGCCACACACACAGACAACCTTTCGTCAATATGCGTTTTCTGCACTGCATAAATACAAAAAATTTGGTCCTAATTTGATCAGCTTGGTCATATCTAGCTGTTTCTCGTCGACAATAGACAGTCTTTGAAAGCTTCTGTAAATGCACAAAGTCTGGAGTACCTGCAAATAAGAAATTTTTTTAACGCCTTCATTTAGGATTCCAGCATTCTTGGATTGCAGCTGAGGTTACTGATCTTGTCTGGACTGTTTCACAACCCTTACTGGGGAGGTACTGACTGCGTTTGGAGGACAGTGTTTTGATTGAAACTCAAAGTTGAAATGAGATGTCTTCGAAGAATTCGCTCCACTGATTCTGTTTTCACAACAGATTCTTTGTTCTGACGGCTGATCTCGTTGAAGACTGACCTTACTATTCCCCATGTTACAGATGTAGCCATTAGAGTTGGGGCTTTCTCTCAAATGACTTCATTTATAGGGGCGTTTTCTTCTAGCGAGTTTTATTTGTGGTCCATTGTGTACGGGATTGTATGTGTATTTCAATTCACTGGATAGAAAGAGGGCCAAAGAACTCTGCTATCAAATTCGGTGTACGGAACAAATGATGGTTTGGGTAAGCTGCCTATTCATTTCCATTTGTGTCATTTCCTTCTAGAAAAATCCGAGAAGTAGCTCGGACAACCAACCGAAGGATGAAGCATCGTCTCATATTACTGCGGTCTTCAAATTTCAGGATCGCGCTGCCTTTTCACTCGGATTTATTGGCTGGTACTGGAAGCGTTTTCAGGGTGCTGTGGACGGTATCAATCTTGCATCTTTGTACGCCGCATATTATTTTACGGTTTGCTTTCGCCGTTCAA